TTATTAGTTTTTGTAATATAAAAGAATGTTTTTTAAATAATTGATGACTTTGTATCCCAATATCTTTAGATGTATTATTTGCGTGATTAGGGACCCTAAAGCTTTTTACATTCGGCAATGCATCCGACTGCAATTCAATATGCAATACGGTACGGTTTTGACAAAGTGTGTCGAACGAGAAAAATTTAGAACGTGCACTTATTTAGTAGATCGTATAATAAATACATTTTCGTCACAAATGTTGATATCAGATCTTTTCTTTGTTCGTGATTGGAAATGTCCAAAATAATAACGGTCCCAACCATAGAATTGTCTGTTTTACCCAAAAAATAGTTACTCTTAATTATTATTTTTGTAGTTATCCAACACATATAATATATTTGGTGATTTTTTGTGTAATAAATATATACCTATGCAATTTAAATTTAAATTCATAAATACGTCACTGAAGCATAAATAAAATAAGTAATTTTTAAAGTGCACTTTTTTCTTAATAGCTATTTACTGTAACTGTTTACTATTGCAATAAGAAAATACACACATCACGTGAACGTAACTAGTAAATAGTGACTTAACTATTAAAAATTAAACCAAGTGAAAATAAATACATATACAACCATTTTAATTAGTAAAGTACAATTTCTTAGAATTACAAAACTATTTGCTATTTTTACCAAACAATTTTTTTGTGTGCACCTTTCATTTAAAAGTTATGAGCAATAAACATTTTTACCGCGAGATGTAGACAGGTAGTTAACAAGAACATTTTAGCAGTGCATTGAAGCCCATGGTTGGTTTCGCCAAGTGCCACGCCCACGTTTCAACGCTAAGTTATATCAGATAAAGAGTCCACATTTGGAATGCAAATTCCTGTACTGGCTTTGAGGCCCATCTTTGCTTCAGCCGAGAGCCACTCCCAAAAATCGCCCACATTTTTGATAATTTATTTATGTGTAAATTGTATTATTGCATTAATCTGTCAATACTCATCTGCGTACCAATAATAGGTTAAATCGGACTGTTAGTGAATAAGTTAAATAATAAGTCGAGTAGCGGGTATAGGACGGTCGATACACTGGACTGTTGTTTTTTTTTTAAAGCACGTTAAAGTTTATTTCCGTCAGGGGTAAACTTATTTAGCCAAGGTGCAACATCACCTCTTCATATATAATTGTACAACTTACATACATAAGACAAAATGTGAAGCACTCCTAATTGATGGGCCCTGTGTAAGCAATGTGTGAGCATTTTAGTCTTGCACCCGCATTTTATTCGTCTAATTACTTGTAACGTTGATTTACATAGTATTTATAACACCTAATAAATGAGAATTTGACCAGTGCGTCAGTTACCAGTGCGTTAATAATAAGAATTTGCTTGTAGCGCTGGAATAAAACATTAAATAAATAATAATAGTATTTTAAGCTGATAAGTGCCACGAACATACATGTAACTTTGCTAAAAAAAATATCAACCCTCTGCTTTATTTTAAGTTGTAAAGATTCTAAGGTATAATTTATTGGACAAGACATAGCGTATATGCAACATTGTACATGTTTAAGAATATAATCAGGTTTCTTGTCAATTTATTTTAATATGACTGACATTTAAATTAACATATTACGTAGGTACTCGATGACTTGGTCGTAGATCTCACTTTCTAGGGCGACGAAGACCACGTCGATGTCGCAATTGAGCTCGATACACGTCAGGGGCTCATTCGAGATGGACTTCAGGACACTTATGGAGGATGTGATCTTCAAGGCACTTAGTAGGCTCAAGGCCTTATCCTTGGAGCTGGTGTATTCATCAGAACGGATGACCATGAAAGCAGCTTCCTTCAGGGAAGGATATAAGTTGTTGAAGTATTTATGGCGATCGCAGAGGCGCAGACCCTTACTATCCACAATTCCGGTGTCTGTGAGCTCCCTGTAGGTTTTAAACTTCTTCCTGCGCTCGGACTCCAATCCATCGTCCGTTTTTGGAACCTCTTTCGATGGCTTGGCGAAATCCACCTGCAATTCATGAACTTCGTTCGAGATTACGGCCAGCATTTCAACGGCAGCTCGCTGGACGGCATCCCTTTTCTTAATCGACTTTCCAAAGCGAACTATGGAAGCAACGGAGCAGCAGGCTACGAATTCCGGGACATCTGGAGCAGCTCGTTGCTCTACATCTACAATATCAACATGAATGGAGGGCACCGGTATCTCGTGACGGACGCAGTAGTCCCGCAGTTCCTCCAGGATGTCGCAATCCAGATTGGTAGGTTCTTTAGCCAAATCCATTCTATTACAGGGCATCAAAAACTTTTGCGTTAATTATCGAAATGGTTTGACCCTGTCAAAATATTTATTTTGGTATGATATTTAGGCGATAGGTTGTCGTGCTTTCAAAAGTACCTCACCAATAATATACCGTTCGCTGGTAAAGTTGATAAATATTTTAGTATTTTCGAGTCAAGAAACACATTGCTTTTGCATAACCATGAGTAGTGCAAAAACATTAGAGTTTTTTTCTCAATATTATTTTCCAATTTAATCTGAGTATTCCCTAAACTTTTATATTGCTGTTTTGTTAAAATTTCAACAGAATGTTTCAGTAATCGGGAGAACGACCTTAAATGGTTTCTGTTGATTTTTTAAACAGCTTGTCAATATTTTCAGAACTATAAACATGTAGTTACTGCTTAAATGATTAATAAGGTAAAAGAAACTACATCTATAGTATAGATTCTATACTTTAACATATGCATTTACGTCAATATTGCTAACTGGTCATACTAAAAGAAGAGTTGCCATGGTTTTTTTTTCAAGATGACAACTCTGGTTTACAGCGATTTAGAGCCTCAAACTTGTTAAATTGCTGAAATTTTTGAAAACTGAGTTGTGTGAACAGTTGACCGAAATACAACAATTCATCAAATCAACAGTTACGGGTGTAACCTAAGTATACATTTAACCAGGGTCCGCAATCATTTAAAATTGTATTTTTACAATTTTCACACATTATTTTTGGATTTTATTTTTATTTTTGGTACAAAATAACACACTTGTTACTGGAACAGTAGAAGGGCAGTTTCTGGGGTGTCGCAGGATTATTATTATTATTATACAAAACTCACCTTTAAAGAACACAAAACTAATAATTTGTAACTGATTATACCCGTTACTCGTAAAGTATACTAGATTCGTCGGAAAGTATGTTACAGGCAGAAGGAATCGTTTCCGACCCCATAAAGTATACATATTCTTGATCAGGATCACTAGCCGAGTCGATTTAGCCATGTCCGTCTGTCTGTCCGTCCGGATGAACGGAAACTATAAGAGCTAGGCTATTGAGATTTGGGGCAGTCCATAAACCACGTGGACAAATTTTTTTTAACTCCAAAAAGTCAAAAGTCCACGATTTTCCAAAAGGGGGGGTGGGGGTCGTGGTAAATGTCCACGTGGACATGGTAAAAATTTAATTTTAACCTTTATGTTATTTATTCCACTTTTAAATTTACTATTAAACTTCTATTTATTTACCATTTTTAAAAATCTCTATAGATATAATTTTTAATAAGAAAAAAAAAGTTTAATGAAAAAGTCCACGTGGACAAAATGGGAGGGGTTAGTTAAAAATCCACGATTTTCCACGAGGGGGGGAGGGGGGTTCAAAAAGTGCTTAAAATTTGTCCACGTGGTTTATGGACGGCCCCTAACCAAATACATATCTTCTTAATCTAAAAGGTATTTTGAACGACTCACATTTTTATACCCGTTACTCGTAGAGTATTGAAGGAAGAGTTTCCCACCCCATAAAGTATATATATTCTTGATCAGGATCACTAGCCGAGGCGATCTAGCCATGTCCGTCTGTCCGTATGAACGCTGAGATCTCGGAAACTATAAGAGCTGGGCTATTGGCATTTGGCATGCAGATTCTGCATGAGCTTCTTGCGCAGCGCATGTTGGTTTCAGCAAAGTGCCACGCCCTTTCTTACGCCCACAGACCGCCGAAAAAGCTGGCTCCTACAGTTTTGATGCTAGAATAAAAATGTTAACTGAAATGTCTTGTTCTCATCAATACCTATCGATTGACCCAAAAAAAAGTTTGCCACGCCCACTTTAACGCTCACAAACCGCACACAAACTTCAAAAAATCGTAAATATGAACGCGGATATCTCGGAATCTATCGAAGATAGAGAATTTGGATTTCAGATGTAGATTTGTACGTAGCGCAAGTTTGTTACGCGAATATGCCACGCCCACTCTAACGCCCACAAACCGCCCATAAAAAATTTTAACTGAAGTGTATTAGTTTCGTCAATACCTATCGATTGATCCAATAAAAAGCTTGCCCACAGACCGCCTAAGCCGGCGGCGCCCACAATTTCCATGCTAGAAACAACATTTTAACTGATGTATTAGACTCGTCAATACCTATCGATTGACCCACCCATTGTCACGCCCACTCTAACCATATATTGATATCGCGGGTAGGTGGCGCATTTTAATCTCGCTTTGTTGCTTGCATATCTCCATTTCTCTTTGGTCCCTTTAGCTGAGTAACGGGTATCTGATAGTCGAGGTACTCGACTATAGCGTTCTTCCTTGTTTATATTGTTAAAGAGTGAAAGCCACAATCTTTTAACTTTATTCCATTTAATGTAATGATTTTATTAGTTGTTAGTTACTCGTAGAACAAAATGGTATATTGTATTCGTCGGAACGTACGTACCAGGTAGAAGAAGCCTATATGTATTATTGATCAGGATTACTAGCCTAGTCGATCTAGCCATGCAAGCCATGCAACTTAAACATTTAAAATTCTTAAATGCTATAGAAACCGCAGTTCACCTAGCATAATTTTTTCCGGATTTTTGGGTAACGGGCATCTCACAGTCGAGGAAGTCGATTATGGTGTTCTTTCTTGCTTCAATATAATACGGAAACCCGTAAAGTAACTTAAAACCAAAATTATTTAGGGAGGTATTGGATCTTCCAACGAACAGTAAGCCCTTTGCTAACAGTCATTTTCATAACGTCCAAATCATAACTTGGTATTAAAATTCAAAAGTTGGCCTCCGGTGATGCTGCGATGAGCGAACCTCTCTCGGGTCCCTGGCTGCGTTTTGTGTACAACGGCCTGTTGCTGAGCACGGCGGTTTGTTCCGGCCGTAAAATGCAGCCGGAGAAGCACCCCTTCGCCCTGGTCGCTTGCGTGGTGGTCGGATTCTCTGCGGTTTTCGGATTGCTCCGGGTGATCTTCGCCAGCGGACAGCCGGAGGAGTGCCGAAAGCTGAGGGACATAACGCATGGTGTCCTGGAACTGGTACCTTTGCCCCTGTCCAATATGGATCTCTACATGCAGTCCACCGGGTTAAGTGCCATAGCATTGGGGCATGCCTTCTTCGTGCTGCCCCTGGTTTGCGATTTGGGTTGCTGCCTGGCGAAAAGTCGGCGAGATTGTGCCTTTAGCGACAGCTTGCGAAATCTTACGGTTCTCGGCAACATTGTATCACTCGGATTTCTGGCCTACGTGGAGCGGAATTTCCTTTATCTGCGGATGATGTTGGTCATGATTGTGGTCAAGTATGGAGTTGTTCTGGTGGACAGCATCAAAGAGGACGCCGGCGAGGATCTGCAGGTGTGCGGCACAGCCCTCTTTTTGCACCTTCTCGGCAAGGCTGTGGAGTCCTCCACCTCCTGATCCTTGGTTTAACCCCTGACCGCTGTTTGCTTCAAGGGTTTCCTTGTCCCGCTTAATTTTCCATGAATTCAGTTTTGACCCGTATTAAATTTCATTTCAGCCGATTTTCAATTGCTGTGTTCATGTTTGCTCATGTTTTTGTAATTGCTCAAGCACCTTGGGCTTTTTACACTAAAAAAGAAAACCGCTAATATTTATAGTTTGTTTTCCAGGGTGAGCGCATTAAAAATAATTATTTATATTTTTCATTAATGTATATACGGTAAATAAAGTAAGAAAGCAAAAGTATTTTGTTCTAAGTGCCAAAGTGATGGCTAGTAGTTTAATTAAAGTTCTTTGTAAATGTGTAATCCTAAATTGTACCAAATTTTCTAAATATTTGGTTTTGTTGCTAAAGAACATTAAGCATCTATTCAGGCCGAACGCAGAAATCTCTTTGGTCGGAACTAGAATTAGAATTGCAAAAGAATAATGCAAAAAAAAGGAGTATAGAGCCCACCACTCGGAGTAAATAGTATATGTAATATCTATGTATTCCAAATTTTATTTCTACTCAACAAACTTTTTTGAATACCTCCAAATTCTGGATCCTCCACTGGTAACGGGTATCTGAGAGTCGAGCCCCTCGACTATAGCTTTCCCTCTTATCTTTAACTGTTGTTTTACTTGCGTTGTAATTTAAATGTAATCAAATACTGTATGAATAAACAAAACTGTTGAACTAGTACTAGGAATTCTTCGAGTGCACACCGGGAGTTGACTTCTATGGCTTCCCTGGTGTGTCACCCACACATTATAATGATATATCGGCGATTACCAATGCACAATAAGTGCCTCCAGTCAGTCGCCCAAAGCAGTCGCTGATTCATCGCTCGAAATCGTTCAAATGCTTTTGCCAATGGTTTCTGTCTTTCAGCGGGGGGCTTATCAATTGATTCGGGGTGGATAACAAGGCAATCGTATCTTTAGATACGGTATCAGCCGATAAGTTCTTGTGGCGGGTAACTTAACTCGTACTTTTCTTGGCTGAAAAGGTTGAGTGAAGCTGAGTGGAGAGTTTTCCTAGATGGGCAAGCACTAACAATTGTTAAAGATAATTCGAAAATGACGAAGAATATATCTTTTAAATGGAGTTTTGTACTTGGTATGCTTCGATGAGGTTCTTCTTCACCCGTCTATCTAGTGAAAATTTTAATTTTATTTTATTTTCTAAACCAACGGACTGCCTACTTCATGGTTCATATGTACGTATGTATTTGTTTTGTGAATGGAGCCAAATGTGTGCCAGATAATATCACATGCATAATTAAAATGTCAGTGTTTTTTTATTTTATCAAAATTATATCGATCAAAAATAAACCCAAACATATCCTGTTGATAAAAAGTGTTAAATCCAACAAAAAATTGGCTTTCAATTATGAAATCCATTTTCCACTTATGATAAACTCTGAGTGGGAACCGGTGATGACATTTATCAATAATTCCCTGCCTGTGCTTCCATTTTTCCAACTCTGCGATGGTTTCGATGTTGTCACTTTTATTATTTGTTGCTCGCTTGTCACCAATATATTTTATGTATTTTCGCGCTACTGTCAAATGACAAACTCTAATTGCAAGTGGGACAGATTTTAATGAGTGTATGCACAAACACATGTGTCGGTACAGTGTTTGACAAAAATATAAGTCAAAACAAATAAGCCAACTAGCATCAGAAAATTTTTGGTATTTTTGTTAAGCTGTAAAACAACTAACTCCACTAATAAGTATCTAAGTATTTAAATTACAGGTGCACTATATCATGATTTTTTTTAAGTCTAAAAAAAAGTTATGAGACTGTTTCACTCTTAAGTATCTATATTTTTGGGAACAATTTAAATCAGTTGAAGCTGAGTCTGAAAGACATCATACTGATTGTCGAAACTGAAATGCGCTGTATTTGCTTATCGGGATTTCTATAAATTTTTTTAGCTCCGCAACTATGACTCTTTTCCGCTTTCCTCCCACAAAAATGCACCTCTTGATTCCAGCGCAGCGTTTTGCTTTATTCAACTTGACAAGTGAAGTGAGTGTGAATATTTTTTAGGTCACAACAACATCAGCAACAAGAACAGGACCAGAACTCCATCAGAATACTCCAACTCCCAGTCCTGGACTCTGGAAACTCTTGCTACCTGGCGAAATAAATAAACCGTGAGGAAAAACAGAAAAAGAGGGAAAGCACACAGGAAAAATACAAGAAATGGTTCGAATCCTTTTCCATCCTGTTCGGAATTGGGTGGAAGGGACGGGAGGGGGCGGTGGACGGTGGGAAATTGCAGTCAACATTTATTTCCGCAGTATGATGGAAAAATTCGAAAATAATTTGCGAGCCATAATTAAAAGGCGACAGCAGAAAAACTCGGGGAAAATATGGGGAAAAGTTGTAGCAAAAAGTGGAAAACGGTGATGGACTAAAGGGGATGGAGGGTGGGGTATGCGATATAGGGGAGGAGCCAGAACTAGTGCAAAAAGAAAGTCAGTCCCTCAATGTGCTCAATCCGCTGGGGTCATAAACAATTCCAGCATAGACGAGTTTTCGATTTTCGCCTCAATTGGCAACATATGGTGAACAGACTCCCCGAGAGCAAGCCAAAGGATCCCGCAGTTACCCATTCCTATGATTTCCTTTCCACACCTAAAGAAAAGCCAAGCGATAATGTATGAAACTAGCTCTAAAAGAGCCTTTGATTCTGAAAATTTTAAATATTTACGTTTTCAAAAATGAATTGAAATGAAATAAATTTAAAATAATTATTTATTTATTAAAAATTAAAGAAATGCTTTAAAAACATTCCTTTTTTTGTTCAGGCACTGTAGTGTTTTCTAATTTTGTGAGGCAAAAGTGGATAAGGAAATTTCATAAGATAACAACTACATATCTACTCTTGGGTTGACGTTGAACCATTTTAATTGGAAAGGGACTTATGAAAACTTCTGAAAACACCTCTAGTGATCAACTTGCATTCTGTTTTTATGACTTATTGGAAGAAACAATTTATGTATAACAACTGATAGTTGCCTCCAAAAGAAATCTAAAAAGTATGTGCAGTACAAAACTTGATACCTTTTTATAGTGTAGCTCGTGGGCGGGGCATCATTTGCATTTGTGACTGCGAATTGCGAATGCGAAAATTTAAAGTTTTCCCGATAAGAGGGTTGTAAAAGTACAAAAAACGGGGAGCAGGAGCGGAACGGGAAGCGGTGGAGTCGCTGCTGCAAGAAATGGCGACGTTTGCGAGGAACGCGACATGAAAAGGGCGGCAGACAAAAGACGAAGACGCAGGCAGCAAACAAGAAAAATCGCTGCCGGCTCCTTGGGCGGGGAAAATTCGACTGGGCGGGGGTGATGGGAAAAGTGAAGGATGTAAATGGGGGGAGGGGCAGGACTTTCCTATACGAGTTTTTCGCATTGTAGAACGCGCGGCATTTGCCAGAAGGTGCCAACACATTTTATTGTTGTACCCTAGAAAGTGAGGGTAGCTTAAAAGTTTTGGAACAATTCAATTCAGCCCGAATAGCTAAAATGATCTCAAAACCCATCTGGAGTACAATATTAAAAATGAAATTAAAAATGAAATAATTAGTAAGTTAGTTTTGTTTTGTTTTGAGAGAACTGTTATAACTGAATTAGAAACATGTTTGAAGTCACTTTAAAAACTCCCCAGACAAAATGAAGAGAAGTAGTGCTAGACGAGTTCTAGCTAAGTTCATTTCTATTTACCTCACTTGAGGGTCCTTCAATCAACTACAAATGATTTCAGTATTTATTGAGGAGAGTACAAACACATTTTCTTGACTTTCCACATACTTACCCCACAAAATGTTTCTTTATGCAACCTTTCGCCCTTTAAGCAGGGTATACGAACTTCACTTCAGCAAAGTCCTGCTCTCCTTTTCGTGTTTTATTGTTCGACAATTCACCGCCCCGCACGTTTCCATCATCTGTTTTTGGGGTATGACGCGGGGTGCCACGTTTAGATCTACGACACACATTGGATGGGTGTATCGCATATGTCTCTATCTATAAAACGTCAACTTTATTTGCCCAACAACTGAGGGAAACAACGTTCCAGCCAAAAGCCAGAAACAGTACGGACTACGGACCATAGAGACCATATAGCACATAGCACGGAGCATCCCTCCTTTCGCATTCACGTCCCACCCAGTAAGCAATAAAACCAGCTGTCAATTTGTTTATATTATAAAAAATAATTAGTCTGTATTCAGCGCCGAAGTCGACGACTCCATCATAGGTGTATGTTGGAATGTATCGTATATATGTACGTAGGTTGGATTTGCGGGTTGCATATTGCAATTTGGGTTGAAAGAAGATTTGAGTGTGGGGGGGAGGCTTTGGGTTTTTGGTGATTATGTTTAAAATTTAAAGCATACGAGAGCGGGTTTCGTGGGTGATTAACTACGCTTGATAAGTGGAATAATTGTACGAAATATGTATGGATAATGCAATATAATTAGTGTTTTCGTATGGCTTAGACATTTCGCTTTGTTTATATTCTGATGACGCTGATTAAAAAGGCAATGGAGGAATGTCGATAATTTTAATTATAGTTTGATGATCGAATCGAAACGAACAAAATGCGGCACAAATTTTACCTATTCCCGGACGGCACACAAGTTGTTGCATACCCCCGGGCGTCTTTCATTTTGCTTGCACTCATTATGCTTCTTTAAATATGTTTGTTATGTTACTTATATAGAATATGCAATAGTTTCCTTAAAATCATCCATCGATTCGCTTCCTTATAGTATATGTATCTCTGATAAATATATAATTTATTTATTTTCTGTTGAATTTTCTTATGCTTCCGTTTGGTTTCATTTCATTTTGTTCGTTTTCCGTTTTGTAACATAGTTTATTTAGGCAAAAATGGCAACAAAATTGTATGTTTAACATTTGTCTACTGTGCAAAAACCGTTTCGCTTTATAGTCAGTGGTTCTTGTCGCTCTTGTCCATGATTAGTAGTAGATGTGTATAACTTTAGCTAACTAACAATTAATTTAAACATTTGGTAACTTATAATTGGCAATAAATCGTTTGAATAAGCAAACA